TATATTAGAATTTTACTTATTTTTAGAATTAGCAAATTATTATAAAAAATTTGTGAAAGAATTTTCAATAACTATTTCATTATTCATAATACTTCTTTATAAAAATAAATAGTCTACAATAGTATAATAAGCATTTAACATTCTTAAATAATACCTTACCTTAGTACTAGTCTTATTATTATCTGATCCTAAATTATAATTCACAGTTATAACAAATACTTCAAATTTCATTATAAAAACTATACTAAGTCAAAACCAAAACAAAAATAATCAATTAATTACATTTGAATCAAGAAAACTTTTATCTATAAAACAAAACTATCTAGTATATAAGAAAGAACTACTTGTAATTATATATGCAATTAGACTCTAAAAGTTATATTTGGAAAAATAAAAGTTTACTATTATCACAGATTATGTCTTCTTGAAATATATAAAAATATAATGCAATCTTTTCAAGAAACAGGCTTATTGGTTAAAAATATTACAAACTAGTAATTTTAAAGTAAAATATAAATTAGATAAAGATAATATAGTAGCAGATGTACTCTTATACTAATCACATCTGATAAATATTTCAGTTATTATTACCAATCTGATGGAAAAAGAATATTTAATAAAGAAGTATTAAGAAAATAAATATTTTAGAGAAATTTATGAAATCTTGAAGAATTTCAGCAGTACCAATCCAAAATAACAAGCCAAAGTGAAAAACTTTGAGAATTATTATATTTAAAGAATATAAATCATTTAGTTATCTCAAATGATAAAATATTGAAAGTAAAGATTTTATTTGAATTTTATGATATATTAATTGCAGGATATTTTAGAATAGACAAGATATATACAGCAATATCTTAATAATTTTATTAGTCAAAAATAAATAAAAGTATTCATAAATATATTATTAGTTATAAATCATATCAATATAATAACTTTAATAATTAATAACTCTCAGGATTACTATAATTACTTATTATTCCAGAATATAGATAGAAATATATAATTATAAATTTATTATTCAACTTTCAATCATAAAATCTGAATATAATATAATAATAGTATTTATAGATAAATTATCAAAAAAAGTATACTTTATATCAATTATAATAATAACAATAGTATCTGATATTGCAAAAATTTTCTTTGAAAATATCTTTAAATTACATAACTTATCTGCAATTATAATATTAGATAGAAATACTAAATTCATAAGTCACTTTTAAAAATTTCTTTTTGAATAATTAGATATCAAACTAGTAATATCAATAATATTCCACTCTCAAACTAATAGCTAAACAGAGAGATTAAACAGAATCTTAGAAGAGATATTAAGAATATATATTATCTATTAATAAAATAGATAAAATAAAAATTTAGTAGCTATAGAATTTACTTATAATAATAGTAAAAATATTTTAACTGATCATATTTCTTTTAAATTAGATTATAAATAGATATCTTGCATACTAATCAATATTTTATCATCACAAAATAATATTATAATATCTCAGAATTTTATGAAATATTAAAATATCATAATAAAAATAACAAAAGATCTATTATTAGAAGTACAAGATAAGTAAAGTAAATATGTAAATCAATATAGAAGATTTAAAGAATTTAATTTTAAAGATAAAGTACTTCTCCCTACCTATAATATAAAAGCTCTAGTAGATAAATAAAGAATAATCAAGAAGCTTGTATTAAAGTTTATAAATCTCTTTGAGATAATTATCAAAATATCTTCTGCCACTTATAATTACAATTACTATATAATATAAAATTATATTTGATATTTCATATTTTACTATTAAAAAAATATAATCCAGATGATAAATTTAATAGATATCAATCACTATTAATAATTATTATATTAGATAATAAAAAAGAATATAAAGTAGAAAATATTCTTAACAAAAGAATTTATTATTATAAATTCTAATATCTTGTTAAATAGCTTAGCTATTCTTTCTATAATGTAATTTAGAAATCTCTTGATAACTTAAAAAATATTATAGAGAAGATTAATATCTTTAAAAAATCATGCACTTAAATATAATAAGAATATTATACTTTAAGTAAGAAGATATATAACAATTTTAATTAGATTATCATTCTTTTAAATTCTTTTAGTTTAGATTTTTATTTTGCACTATCTATATAATAAATTAGTTTTATATTATATTTTTAAGAAGATCAATTTTATACTAGATATATAGATGATCATTATGTATTTAATATATTAGATTTAATATATTATCATATAAATAATTACTATATATATCATAATTATTAATTTAAATATTATATTTATTCTAAAATAAGCATAAGTTTTTAAAATATATTTTGAACTCTAAATTAAATCATGCTTATTTTTAGATATACAGAAAGTATCATCTAATTTATGCGTAAAATTATTTTTTAAAATATATTTATCAAGTTTTTTTTTTTTGATAATAAATATCATTTTATCTTTTATTATTTTATTAATATTATAATTTTATTAGGTTAAAAAATGATATCTATTTATATGTAACTTAATAAAATTGAAAAAAAAAATTTTGATATATATAAATATTGTAAATACTACTTAAATCACAAAAATACTTGAATGTGATCTTATAATAGTATATCACTTTCTAAATAAATATAAATAAATCAGAAAAAGTGAAAACTTATTATATTTAGAAAGATTACCAGTCTTAAATAATTATAAAAAGAATTTACTTATATGTGAAACTAGCAAAAAATAATATATATTACTATATGAAATAGTTAATAATTTAGATCTCACTTGTAATTTAGCAACTATTACAAATATATTACATAATTTTAGACTTTATTCATGTATTGCAGTAAAGAAATCTTATATCTTAAAAATATATACATATAGTAATGACCAAAAGTAATGACTCAGGAATTAAATTTACTAATAAAATATAGTGAAAATTAAAATTTTTTCTCTATATAAAAATTTATAATTTTAATAAGAAATAATTTTTATTTTTACATTAAAATAAAATTTATTAGTTATAGTTTAACATATATTTTTTTCAGATTTTTTAGATTTTTTCTGAAAGATTTGCTCTAATTATAAAGTTAATGCAAAAATTTTTATTAATTAAATTTCATTTTTAATTAGTAAAAATTTTTGCACTAACTTTACAATTAGAGCAACTCTTTCAGAAAAAATCTAAAAAATCTGAAAAAAATATATATTAAACTATAACTAATAAACTTTATTTTAATATAAAAATAAAAATTATTTCTTATTAAAATTATAAATTTTTATATAGAGAGAAAATTTTAATTCTGAGTTATTACTTTTGGTCACCACTGTATGCTCATATTAAATAGTATGAAGAAAATAAAAATAAATTAGCTTATTAATAATTTAGTTACTGATTCTAATAATATTAATAAAATATAATACGTATTTATTTTTGGATATGCTTATTCTTAAAAAATCTATATTTGAAAACTAAAGGTTATTTGTGCTTATTTTTGGGAGTACTTATTTTGGGACAAATATGATATTAATATTTTTAATTACATTTATTATTAATATTTTCTTTATATTTTTATTCATTCTTCTTATTATTTATTTATATTATTATTTATAATTATTTATCACATTATTATTTATTAGATTATGATTAGTTGCCTTCTGAAGATGCAAATTAAGTTAATTAATTCTGTTCAACCCATATGTATTTTAATTATAGATTATTATTAATTTATTCACATTTTATATTCATTTCTTTTATTATAAATATGACCTCTTTATTCTGTACTTCTACCTCAGATCTGAATACTTTTAAGTAAGATTTTGTCTATCATTAGATAGAATATTGTTATAATTTGAAAAATTGTGTTCTACACTGCAACTAGAAATAGGTAACCAAATATGATTCAAAACTATATTAGATAATAATTGAAATTGATTGATATTACCTTGCCAAAACTCATCTAAATCCAAATTTCCATCCACAGTAAATGGCCCACTCCCATAATAAATCTTCTGAAGGTAATAATAGAATATTGCCGAATATTTCTTCTTTCAATTGTACCAAAACAAGTATAAGCAGGATCAAATACTTGACATGCTTTGAATAAAGAATATGAAGGGCGTGCAAGAATATGTGAATTAAATTTTTAAAGGAAATTTCAACCTTGATGCATTTTGCTTTTAATATGATCATCTACTGTTGATTTACGTTTCCATTCAACGAAAATATTGCAAAAAAGTAGATTGTCATTAATATAAAAATGACCAGGAAATTCAGAAATACGGGTTTGAGGAGTGATTTTCTTATGTCGTGCTATCACAAAATTAATTTTTAATCAAAAAAACGTGATTTTATTCAAAAAGGACGTGTCAAAAAATTTGTACGCATTTTTATAAAAGAACAAGGGGGGTAAATTCACAATTTTTGCAATCTCTTCAGTTTAATATGATTTCTGCAAAAACCCCATTAATCTGCAATTTCTGCGGTTTTCTGCATTTTGCAGAATTTCATCGTCCCTGGGTTAGAGTATACCTTTTTTGAATCACGTGGTAGTGACGATCATTACCGGATCTTCCGACCCGCAATATAATATAAGTCTGGGGCAGATTTTATCTTTTGATACCTAGTAATCGGAATCAAATGAAAAATCATCATTTCTAGGTATCGAAGGCATCGCGTATTCTTTACTGCGTCATAAATCCTTCGTCAAAATACCTAATTATAAATTGAATTAAATTTCGTTATTACACAAACATAAAAAATGATTTTTATTGGTTTTTATCTTTTTTACACAACAGAATAAAAAAATGGGAAGTAACAATCCTCGAAATATTCTTAAATTTGTTATTGTTGCTTAAATGAGGAAGTGATACCACCAAACACATCTTTTTTGAGTGTCATAGTTTCGCGTATTTGTTAATCCTCTATTTATATTTATATATTCACCTTCGACCCAAGCTTTGTTAATTTTTCTTTTCGTTAAACTAAATGGAAAAAATTAGAGAAGTAAGTTTTGGGAGAATGTAAAATTTTGTAGTTGGTTAGGTAGCTCTTGTCTATTTTGCAGATTATTTACAATAATATTATACCAATTATCGTTGTGACTACATTGAAGCTACAATTGCATCGTCACGAAAACATGTAGAAACAGAAACACGAAGTTTCAGTTATATAAATAACATCATCTATTTTATTAAATAATCGATATATTCAAACGTAGAAACTTAATGCAGTTCGTGCTGAAGCCGATGCAGCGAATCAGCGTGCAGAAAATGCTGAAGCCGAGTTGAAAAAAGCCAAAGACGAATTAATAAGCAAAGAACAAGAAATCATATCTCTCCAAAATAAAATTGCACTTTTGGAAGCAGAAAATCTTCGTATAGAGAAAAAAGTCACGGACGATAAACTTTTACAGGAGGAAGTTGAGACAAATAAGAGTACTACCGAGGCACTTCAACGAAAAGTCGCTTTACTTGAAAGTGAATTAGATAATACTGAACAGAGTCTACGGGACACAACCGAGAAGTAGGTTTCTTATGTTGTTTCTTTAATTGATGATGATTGACTGATATATTAAATTCAATTCAATCAATGCTAGACTTCGACAAACTGACGTCAAAGCAGAACATTTTGAGCGGAAAGTTCAACAACTTGAAGCTGAGAAATCTGATTTGGAAAAACAATTAGAAAATATTGAAGAAGAACTCGCAAAGACCAAGAAAGAACTTGATGATACCTTAAAATCATTTGAGGATATGTAAAAATTGTCTAACAGTAATAATAATAGTAACATAATTGTGCGAAATTAATTACCTTTATATAATTAATTATGATTTTGGTGATTTTAGTTTATTAATTATTTAGTGGATATTTAAAACGATTTATTCATTTTCATGATCATTTTAATTTAATCAATTTATCTTAACAAACATGCAAAATAAATATTTGTATTGCATAGATAATAAAATGAATAAATCAACACACAAACACTTAATGAACCCATCCTTTAGCGTGTCCATCTAACATTTGCGGTTCTAAGAATCCACGAAAAATTATTGAGGCGTGACCTTTGTCAATATTATGAGAAATTTGTAATGTCTTATTATCATTCTCATCATCACCTTCATTATTATTATTATTATTATTATTGTTATTGTTATTATTATTATTATTATTATTATTATTATTATTATTATTATTATTATTATTATTATTATTATTATTATTATTATTAATAATCTTATTACTGTCAATATTATTAGGATTAGCATTGGCTTGTTTGATTATAGGATCATAAATTTCCCAGCGTGCTCCGTATCCTTGTTCATTACGAACTTCATAAACTCTTGTATCGTGCTGAAGATTAAAAATATAAATATCAGAGATGAGGCTTAAAATGAATAAGTTTACTGCTTCTATTGTATCCTTTCTTACTGGTAATGAATGTAAATTTATCCATGCGGCATTTGTTATGATTTTCGCCAATACTCTATTCGCTTGCTCGTTCTTTTGCTTCTCGGCTGATCATTTATGTGGAGGGAGGATTTAATTAATACCACACATATATAATAGGTATATATGTTGTAAGTAGAAATGGAATATTGGTTTATTCGGAATCCACTTGGTGTGGATTTAGATTTTTGATCAGCATTAATCTTATTTCCAGCACTATTCCTAACCCTAACTGTCCTGCTTACAAAACAAATATATGGTAATAACAGGATAAATAACTTACTTCCGGTGCAAGTTCCCCAAAAAGCATCAGATACATCACGATGAAAATGTTTAGAATGGGCTTTTGCACCAACAGTAAGTGTATTGGCCGAGAATGATGCTGCTTTAGATCTATTTAATTTGGGCTTTGCTGATTTTTTTACATAGATTTTTGTAAAAGATTCAAGACATTCTTGTAAAGATGGTGGCAATTGTGGCGCTGATCCGACTGTAGTTCGAAGACCCAAAAATGTATTTAGATCTTTTGGGGTTAAAAACTGCATAAATAAATAACTATAAGTATTGTTGTTGCCGCTGCTGTTGCTTCAATAGAATTTTACCTCAAATAAAAATTTAGAGAATTGTCTTTCTTTTTCATCATTCAGAGGATATGTAGCATTGATGAACACGTTATTATATAAATGTTTCATTTCTTCTTCAATCTCATCCAATCTTGGTTCGAAATATATGGGAATATTATAAATTCATAAATTATAACAAAAATGAAAATATCTAATATGATCTTACCTTGACAAATTTTTATTTTCAAGCATAAACAATTTACTCGTCTTTAGACTCTCTGGGAATTCTCCGAGATTCTTGAATATGCAAGTTTCAAGCATTTCGGCTAAAGCAAGATAAAAAGGCCGCTCAAGTAATCCCTTTTCGAAGCGGGAATGTGCTTGGGTGACATTATGATCGTCATTATTTAAATTTAAAAGACAAGAGTTTATACAGTCATAAAGGTGGCGTGTAATTTCACCAAAAGGTGTTGTTCGCTTTGAAGAAAAATATAATTTTTAGAACAGTTCAAGCAAAATAGAAAAACTTCATAAACACACATTTGGCTCTAGGGCTAAAAGAGAAGCGCATAGTTTAGGCCATGAGAGGGAATTATCATAGTTCTCTTTTGCTTTTTCTTTTAATAATTTTTCAAGAGTTTCAGTGAAGTTCATGTTTAGTGATAAAAAAAAAGATCTCATGTTATTTTTGGTGTTTTTTTACCATTAAAAAATTTTCGCGTCACTTTTGTTAGAGAAAAATTCCTTAAAGATATGTCTAAAATGAAGGTATTCACGTGAAATACTTAAACTCGTATATATGTGTGTACGTAGAAAATTAAGAGTTCACAACTCTCTCTTTTGTAGAAAGACCCTCCGCTTCATTCACTTGTTGCTGGGTTAATAGCGGGAGGAGTAGAAGCGACTATTACAGTTTGTTATTAGATTCGATTTTATTCTATTTGATTATCAAAGAATTAGATTCTTATCATTGTGCATGTCTCTTTTTTAAAGTATCCGACCGAATTTGTAAAAACTCAGCTTCAATTACAAGACAAATCAAGCGGAGGAAAGGCATGTACACACAAAAAAACCAATGGACAAAAATAGAGCAATAATATGTAAACCATTTTATGTTCATCTAAAAAAAAATGAATCAAATTTGAGAGTTTTTTAGCATTATAAAGGACCAATAGATTGCGCTGTAACTACCGTTCGAACTCAAGGATTTTTCGCTCTTTATAGAGGATTATCGGCGTTGGTGATAGGAACCGCAGCTAAAGCGGGAGTACGTTTTTTGACGTATGAACAAATCAAATTGTTATTACAAGACGAGAATGGAAATGTTTCCGGACCAAAGTCAATGCTTGGTTAGTATTTATTTTGTTTTATTACTTAACATAAAATAATATGCTTATATTATATACATAATTTTATGAAATAGCTGGATTGGGAGCAGGAATGACTGAAGCGGTCACCGTCGTCACTCCAACTGAAACTATAAAGTATGTGATGGATTTACGTATTTCTTTATCTATTACGTATATAAATAATTCTTACCCTTGAAAAAAAAAGGACAAAACTAATTCACGATCAGAGTAAACCTCAACCTCAGTACAAAGGACTTGTACATGGTAATTTAAAGAATAGAAGCGGTGAAAAGACGAATAAATAGTTAACAAACTTTTTCTCATTAGGAGTAACAACTATTGTAAAAAATGAAGGATTTGGTGGAATCTATCGTGGTGTGTTCCCAGTAATGATGAGACAAGGCGCAAATCAAGCAGTTCGATTTTCCACATATTCCACATTAAAACAAGAATATCAAAAATTGACTGGACCAGGACAACCATTACCTTGGCTAGTCACTTTTGGCATAGGTTCGATTGCCGGCATTGTTACAGTTTATACCACGATGCCATTAGACGTGGTGAAAACAAAAATGCAAGGATTACATGCTAGAGAATTATACAAAACTTCTTTTCATTGCCTATGGAAGGTGATAAAAGATGATGGTATATTGGCATTATGGAAAGGTGCTACGCCAAGATTAAGTAGATTATTGGTATGTGTAGATAAAACTTTCTTTGGTTCAAAAGATACAATCATAAATTTTTTAACCTATCCATCTCTTGAATTCAATTAAAAATCATTCGCTTAATCAAATACTAAACCACCTAACAATCACTTGCCAAAAGCTTTCGGGTGGAATCATTTTTACAGTATACGAGCAAGTCATCAATGTTTTCCGAAAGTTTTCTACAGAAGAAACATAATTGTGACCAAAGATTATTACTTTCAACAATAGAAAAACAATGTCCAAAAGAAAATAATTTTAAATACATTATCGTTGACGTAAATTATTATTTTGAGCTTTCTTTGTTCTTTTATGATCTATCCCCATATATATATATAAAATATATATAAGAATTAATAAAAATCATACTAGTATTTAAAGATTAAATAATTAAGTGATCATTTGTGAGAAAAAAATCTGGTGAAATGTGAAGAGATATCGAAATAATAGGGGATCAAATGTTCTACGTTAACATACCTCATCAGAGCTGCCTATTATACAAAAAATTTCCTTGTAATGCAATATATTAAGTATCATCTATGTATATATTTATATTCTAATCTTTTTACCTATATTAAATCAAATCCGAAAAAAATTAATAAATAAAAGTTAGATTCAAGAAATATCGAATTGATGATTACTGTTATTGACGTTGTTTATTTTGTTTTGAGATTGACGCTGGTCGTTATTATTATTATTATTTTTGTTTTTTGTCTTTTTCATCTCAGATTTTCTGTTTAAATAATAATTTAATTAGTTAATTAATTAATAAATAAATACAAAATTAACTGCGAAAGAAAAATTTACCTCGGACGACCAGGACGACGACCACTTGAATTTATGATTCGCACAGGCGGTGTAGAGAGGGTGTGATGTTGTTGGCTTTGATGATTTGGTTGTTGATTATTATGATTTTGTTGACCATTAATATTGACTATTTCCTTATCAGCATTAACAATTGTCGGCTTAGTATGGAGATTTTTCTGACCTGATGTGGTGACGATATTATTTTCGCTGTTTTTTTTAGATAATCAAGTTAAGTTAACCATTAAGATTATTATTTGAAAATATTAATAAGCACGATTCTTACGCATCGGCATCCTCTAGGCTATATCCGGAAAAGTATCGTTTCGAATTCAAATCAACATGATACATTCGTGTTGTTGGATCATAATATGGACCACGCTGTTTTCTTGCCCATATTAGTAAATTATTCCTAAAATACAAAAAGGATAAGAATATTTTTTTAAAAAAAAAATAAAAAATAAAAAAATGAACTATAAACTTACCAATCTATTATTAACCAAGAGAATAAATAAATAAGTTAGGATTTAAATAAAAAAAGGGTGATCCAGTATTTAAATCAAACATTAAAAAAATAAATATATATTCAATAAATAAGATTAAAAAGATTGCAAACCGGAAGTAGACTGTATCGCGGCGTTTTTCTTTTTTACTTTTAATTAAATAAAGGTGATTAATGATGTCTATTAAATATATAAAAATAAACAATGCAAATGTTCAAATATATACTTGAAGCGGAGTTTTTCGTAATGACATGCAAGTTTCCAATGTTATGTTTTGAAGTATGTCGCGAAAACTCGTGAATAGATGAATTATGCGCCATGTGGAGAGAAAGTTTTACAACAATGATTTGATAGACAACAATTTCATTTATTTCATTGGTCATCACGTGTTAAACATAAATTTATGAAAAATGACAACAGACCATCAATTTGCACAAATACGTATTATGCAGGGTCCATCACATTAGAGAATTGTCTCGAAACGGAAATAATTCAGTTTTATTATCACGTAAAAAAATTTGGAGTTTTCAAATGCTGATCAGATATTGCGAGAAAATTTTAGGAAAAGAAACAAATTGTAATCGTAGCTAGTCTTCATAAATAAATGGCTGAAGGTAGCGTTCCTCCAATCAAGAATGGCTGGCGTGACTTTGTTGCTGGCAGGTTTGTCAAAACAATACTTTTTTACTTAGCGAAATATAACGTTTCTCTCGAATCTATCTAATTATATACTATTCTATAGTTTCGCTGGCATGGTAGGTTTTTTCGATGGTTTTTTTCCTATTACTTTATTTCGTTTGAATTTGAAATTAATTATGAGATTTATCTTACAGGCTCAAGTCATTGTCGGACAATCATTGGATACGATAAAGGTTCGTTTATAAGTTTTCATTACTCTATATTCGATTAAACGAATAGTTCATCCCTCTTTACTCTTAAAAAAAAAAGGTTCGCGTTCAGCTGGAAAGTTCACGTTTTAAAGGTCCAATGGATTGTCTAACTCAAACATTAAGAAATGAAGGATTCTTAGCACTTTATAAAGGTCTGTGTTTTGCCCAAACTCGATAAATTATTAAAAATTAATCTTTCCCGATTGATAGGAATGGCCAGCCCTCTTGTTGGAATTGGTGCTGTGAATGCTCTACTTTTTGCTGCATATTCCCGTCTTAAGTCTATTCAGACACCAGAGAATATTAATGGTCGACTTGGCCTTCATCAAATAGCAATAGCTGGCGCTGGAGCTGGTAATCTACCTTTAAATTTTGAATGAATTGTTTTCGATTACGCACAAAGATTATCCAATCATGATACTGTATGATATGATAAAAATATTTAATATCGTCAACGATTTATATTTATTCGTAATTTTAGGCGCAGTAAATAGTATATTAGCATCTCCTGTCGAATTACTCAAAATTAGAATGCAAGCACAATATGGAAGTACAAAAGGTGCTTCAACTGATAGAAATAAAATTCATTACACGGGACCAATTGATTGTGCTCGACAATTGATCCATGAACATGGCATTAGAAATGGATTGTTTCGAGGTTTTTGGATCACAGTTTGTCGTGAAATTCCGGGATACGCTGGTTTTTATAGTGGATTTGAATTCGCAAAAAGAAAATTAGCATTTGGGGGAGATTCAGATAATCTTCCAATTTCTCGATTGATGCTAGCTGGGTCTTTCGGTGGTGTTGCTTATTGGCTAAGTTGTTATCCATTTGATGTTATAAAATCACAAGTAGGTAATTTTAATTAAAAAAGATCTTAAGATGATTTGATGATCAAATATAGATGATTTTTTGTATTTTAACCTCATCTACAGATTCAAAATCAACCTGATCCTCCCAAAGGGATATTCTATGTGTTAACCACCTTTAAGAAAGTATATGAAACTGAAGGACTAAGAGTACTAACACGTGGAATCACTCCTACAAGTAAATTTTTTTATATAATTTTCTTTTATTAAGCTTGAATTTTAAATTGATGCTTAGATTCTCCGAATTCTTTTCTTATATAATGATAGTTATAAGAAGGTATTTCATTTCAAACGAATTAATAAATCTATTTTATACTTGGTATTTACCACTAACATACTCTTCTCTGTTAGCTTACCCGCTGCTGGCGCTACTTTCACTGTCTATGAGTTATCCATGCGACTTTTTGATAGATTGGACGGCAAACTGGACTCCAGAAATTATTAAAAGAGATATGAATGGTTCATATTTGCTTTATTTTAAGCTATGTCAATGATACAACATAAGTCAATCAACGTGTCGAAAGAAAATTCGATCTCTGTTTACTCCAATCATGATTGGATGACGATGCGTAGGCTAATATCCACTTTGTATTTGTCAAGGTATATTTAAGTGCACGAGTCCAATTGTCGTCTTGGTTAAATTGTCTCTTTATGGAGACATCTCCTATCCTATCCTTATTAATTCTGTAAAAATCATATTTTATTATTATTATTATTATTATTATTATTCTGTAGAAAACATTAAACACTTGTATTTATAATTACCGGTATGGTAGCTTTAAATTATGATCTTGTCTTTCGGCGTAATCTCCTAATTGCTGCAAACAATTAAGAAATGCGACCATTGCATTGTCAAAGCGGTTGTTTTGGAATATTCGCCCTATTCCGATATCCCCCGAACCGTATCTATAATTTAAATTTCAAAAGTTGATATTCAAGTAATAATCAATCGATACAATAAATCAGCAATAACAAAGCTTACATACAGTTCATAACTTTGTTCGTCATCGCCAATTTTTTCTATTCGAGAAAATGAACCTAAAGGAACAAGACGATACCTGTACGTGGAGATGCATATTTTTAGTTAGAAAATAGATAATAGTTGGATGAACAACATCTCACTTCAATTTAGTGTTCTCATCGAGAACGCTAAATATAATCCTGCTGTTCTCCTATTTTAATTTTCTGTTCTCATGATATATAATTTAAAGTATTTATGTGTTCTCAAAAGTGAACATATTTGTTTTTCAATTGTTCTCACTGAAGAACTTGTGTTCTCATGAGAACGCTGAGAACACAGAATTCCAACACTGCTGAACAATCCGGAATTTAGAACTTACGTTTTAAATGTGAAATTAAGCTTGTTGGCAATAGTAGCCAGTAAAAGAACTGCTTGTCCCCAGGCAGCGTTGATCTCGCTCCATTCGACCTATGTAGAAATTATTAATTATAACGAATGCACAAAAAAAATCAATTCGAAATTTTTCTAAACATACAGGCTGATTTTGTAATCGACCTAATCGGAACCCATTTATGGTACCGAAACTCCCATCATGACTTATGCAAAATGTATCATTATAAACATTGGTTTTTTGCAATTTTTCCAATTGTTTTGCATCATGATCATATTTGACATTAACGCTATCTCTCTCATTTTGAAATATTTGCAGTTGAATATGAAAGTCATTGAATTCCTTCCAATAACTGAAATACAAGAGATTAGGAAAAATATAATAAAATTTGTTACTTTTTATATATTTTACCTTTCTTCAAGTTTATCCAATTCGTTTGCCTCTTGCTCCAATTCAGCTAATTCTCTCTTCATATTATCCCTTTCACGCTCTATTTCTTTTAGAGTAGTAATAGCACGCGATTCACGGGCTTGTATCTGTTAAATAGAGTTCGAATACGATAAATATTCCAATTTTAAAAAATTGAGAAATTATTAAGATTACCTCTTGTATCTCTTGACGAAGATCTTCTTGTTTAGCATCACTTATCACATTAGAGTTTACTTTCTTTAGAAAATCTATATAGCAATCACGTTCTTTAGATGCGTCTGATAATTGTTTATTCAAACTCTCCAAAAGCATATCTGTGCATTCTTGGCAAATTGGATGGTCAATTTCTGATCGAGATGACATTAGATCAAATAAACGTCTCGCTAATTTTAGACGATAACTTAAACTTGCCCTTTGTCGATCATCGGCATTAGCATCCATAGGTAGTTCATTTGAACTGTTAAGAGGCGGCGCAACCTGCGAACGTGATAGCATTACATAGGATTCAGAAGGTCCCAAAAAAGACTCTTTATTGTTGATGGTTGGTGATCTTGACAGACCATAATTATGTGTAGTTGCATTAGAGCGTTTAGCTAATGAGTTATTAGTAGTAGACTCGAATGCATGTGATATTTGTTGCAAATTATTATTAAGAGACTTTCCCGAGCTATTCAAGACTGAGGTTGTTGAACGAAGATCATCCTCGGGAGGGGGAGCTATTTTAATAAGTATTAGTATACATCTAACGGAATTCCAACCTCTAGAAATACTCACCCAATAAAAGATCTATTGAAGTATTATTCAGATCTACAAGAGACTCATCGATCTTAATAGGCTGTTTGCAATGTTGGCAACTGAACATTTTCGAAATACAAAACGTCAGTGGAAAATAAGCGTGTATATAAAAAATCATGTGATTTACAATTAACGATTGACAAAAGAAAAAATCGAATATAGAATCCGTTCTCGATTATGATAACAAACCAATAAGAATGTCGCAACTTATATATAAATAATGTAGATCATTTATTTTTTGAATATTTATATTGAATAAAATTATACAAAAAAAATAAGTAAAAAATAAATTCAATTTTATTTTAACATATAAAGTAATTATATTAGCAAAAATTATTTTTAAATATAAGTAAAGATAAATAAAAGTTTATTAATTATTTTTAAAAGAATTAAATTGATATTTAAATATATAAAATGATTATATAATAGGATAAATTCTGATTTGCAAAATAGTAAAATCTGATTTGATTAGTTATATCAAATAAAATCTGAATTTTTTGTAATATTTATATAAAATCTATCTTTTATATACTAATTATATAAAATCTAATCTTTTTTTTGGCTATATTAAATGAAATCTGACTTTTTTTGTCATAATTATATAAAATTTATCTTTTTTATTTAATGACAAATTTTTATATAAATTATAAAATTCATAATATATTTATTTTTAAAAAATAATTATAAACTTTCTATATATATTACTCTTTTATAATAAATTTTTCTGATTTATCATATTAATATCAGCTTGTATTTTTAAATAAATATCTGTAATATAATAATTATTATTACAAAAAAAATCTTTATAAAATAATATAATATAAAAAATCTTGACAATTATATAAATTTATTTTAATTTTATATATAATATAATTAATAATATAGTAAATATTATAACTAATTATCTATTTGTATAAATGCAATAGATATAATGCAATATATGATGTAGTCATAGTAGTAATTACTAATTATTACTAAATTAGATATATAAAAAATTTATATTAATTTATTATTAATTTTTAATTTATCTTATTATTTATATTTAGTCTTATTTTTTTATTAATTAGTCATATATATCATATCTAATTTATAATTTTATTAAATTAATAATTTTCTAATTAATTATTATTAGTTTTTCTTTCTTTTATTACTTTAGTTTTGAATATTTTAATATTTTGCTAATTTTAATTCTTAATTATTATATATTTAATATTCTTTATAATTATTCTTTTGAAATTCTATCTATTCTTGAGTAAATTAAATAGAATATTATATTAGAAATAATTTGTAATTAATATAGCAAGAAAATATTATATATAAAGAATCAAAAAGTGATCAAAAAGAATAATTAAGTTTGATAAAAGTAATTAGCTATTAAGTTAAGAGTAGTTAATTAGTATTTTATCTAATAAACATATATATTTTATCATATATTTTATCTTTATTTTCTTTTTATTCTATTAAGAGAATATTTTATTAGAAGTAAAATTATATAAATTATCTTATTAAGAAGATAATCATATTTTATTAAAAGTAATATATATATATATTATCTTATTAAAAAGATAATTAATCATATAATTTTTCAAAGGTATAAAAGTAAATAATTATCATAAACATAATTACTCTTACTATTTTAAAATATTTACATATACATAAACTTAAAATAATAATAATTTTTTTAGATTTCTCTTTATGAAAGGTAAAATTGAAATTAAAATTAAAAATCAATAAATTAATCCAAGCTGAATTCAATAAAGTCAACTAATTATGAAATAAAAAGATAATTTTAGAGATTAGTTAATCTTTTTGATTTATCTTAACTATACAAATCACAAGAAAGAGAATTATATTAATTAATTAATAGTTATTTATAGTAGATACAGAAAAAAATAATATCTCATCAATAAAATATCAATTATAATTTTGATTTCAAAAGTATTTGAATTGTACTTCTGTTAAAATAACTAATATTATTTATAATTTATACAAGAAAATTACTTTATTTAATTGATAAAGATCATAATATACTTAATAATCAAGATTTGGTACTCTAATTAGTACTTTAATTAGAATATCTAGATTAGTTCTATTATTATTTACTTTAACTTTAATTTTCAATATATTCTTCATTAATTTTTTAAGTAAAAAAGAACTACTTTAGTTTAGTTTAGAAATATAAGAGAAGAAGAGTTATCAGATGAAAAAGTTTAAAATCCTATTATTTTAGATTTATCTTTATTTTAATTTCAAAAAGATCAAGAAAATATGACAGATTAAGCTATATAAGCTTTAGCTTAAGTACTTGATTTACTTATTTAGATAATACAAGTCTAATAGAATAGATAAGTTGAACTATTAACAGTATCATTTTTCTTTTATAATAATGGAGTATATAAAGATTCTATGAATTAGATTGAAAAATTTGAATGCTTAGCAAATATTAATAATATAATGAATATAAGAAAAATTAAAATGGTATCTGCATACTTGAAAGAAGTTACAGTAATATAATTTTAATAAAGTAAATTCACAAATAATAATTGATCTACTAGCTAAAATAATAATAATAATAATATTTTATTCTATTAAATCTTTATTATTTAATTTAAAATAAATACTCAAATTCTAGTATAGTAATAATAATTAAGATTAAGAGTATAAGGAATAAATAAAGATATAACTTTATATGCAGAAGATATTTATATACTACTTTATAAAATTAATCTAATATATATATATTCAGCTACTTACTATATTGAGCAGTTTGTAAAAGACTTAAAATCAGAAATTATCTTTTATATAAATAAGTTTAATTCAGATACTTTAAATAAAATAATTACAGAAGTGATTAATATTGAGTTTAATTATAGATAAACTTATTAAAACTCTCTTAATTCTATATTTCTCATATTATAAAATCTTGATATTCCTTTTAGTATTTCAAATTTAATAACTAATATGAGTAAAGCTATAGTTGATCTCATAAAACAGATAAAAAAATTATTCACTTAGAATAATCAAAATTTCAATAGCTATTTTAATCAAAATAAAGCCTACTATAATTATGGTAAAAATAAATACATAGCTTATAATTGTAGACTGTCAAGAAGGAATATAAATAATAATAGTAATTCTTAAATATTAAGTATTTTAAATATAATAAAATAAGATACTATACTAATAGCTATATAAAAAGAAATACAAATAATAGATAACTAGCTAATCTTGAAAATAATATTATTATTATAGCTCTAGATAATAATCTCCTATTACAATAATTGCAATAACTTCTAGATAAATAAACTATTATATCTCTATTTACAATCAAATCTCTTTATACTAATATAAATAGTACTAGTCATTTGTATTAGTAAAATGAATTTATCAGTATAATTAAAGATTCTCTTTATAATAATATTATTTATAGAAATCTCATTATATTAGTATAACAAATTAAATAATAATCATATCTATTTTAAAATATGAATTTTTATTTCATCACATGCTTATGAATTAATAAAACTATCTATTATTAATTATTTCTTCTTTAATATATAATAAACTTATAATTGATTTTGTACTTTAGATAATTCTAATATTATTTTAACATTAGAAGCAAAATTCTCAGTAGGATTTACCAGAAATTCTATTGCACTACTAATATCTCCTAATATTTCTTTAATCAATATAGCAGATTAAACTGTTATTCTCTCATTAGCTTCTTTAGGTTCTTCATCAGAAAGACATATTACTTTTATAATTTCTTTATCTATTAGATCTTCTCTAGTTATTATATTATCATCAACATTAATATATTTTTCTGCTATTATTAGTTCTTCAAAGCCTAGTTTATCAATTAACTATTGAATACTCTCAGTATCTGATTCAATTTTTTCTAACAGTTCTTTCAAATTTGATAGAATATTAGTTTTATATTAATAATTTTTAATTATATCTTTCTTAACTAACTTTCATGCTTCAATACAAAAATTAATTATATCTAAAATATTAATTGGTATAATAGTTATTTGAAGTTCAGTAGACTATTTATATATATCAATTCTATTTCTCACTAATAATTATCAATATTATATCTAAATATAAATGAATTGAATTAGTTTATATTCTATATTAATAATAATAACTAAATTAATATTACTTTGAAAGAATGAATTATATCTGCATTATATAGTTGCAGATGTACAATTATATTAGGTGGCAAATAATAAAGTCTAATATTTATTAGATTCTTAATATTTGAAGTTATATATATCAGAGTATTATTGATTAAAAGAAGAATATTATGATTATATCTTCTTATTAAATTATTAAAGATGCTAATTTATATCCAGGCTATAGAATTCTAATAATATTCAACTGCTAGAGAATTTTTATTAATTTCATAAAGTGAACAAGAGATTTTATGCTTATAAATAAATAATGGAAGAAGCTTCTCAGTTTCTGATATATTATACATCAACAGAATTATCACATGATTTTTAGACTTCTTGATATCTATTAATGATCTTGTTGCTAAATTTTGATCAGATTCTAATTGTTAATATAATACTATATAATAGAATCTGTAAATAATAGCTGGTAAGAATAAATTAATATAAATACTTACCAGTCTTATCATAATTAAATATATATTGATGATCATAATTACTTATTATATCATATAATTTTATATGTTCTTCTTCAAGACTTTCTTGAGAAATACTATTCTCTTTATCAGATTTTAAGTATGATTATATATTATGATAATATTTAAAATCTAAAATCCAGCCAGTCAATTCTGTAAAATGATCAATGTCAAAATAAATAGCAAAATTCTTTGCTTTCTACTTAAGAATATCAGTAGTAATAGTAATATAGTTATTGACTACTATATTAAGCTAAATAACTAATGCAGATTCAATTTGGGAATAGAATAAGGATTAAATTTTCTTTTTCTTAGATAAAAGTACATCATTATCAATAAAAAGCCATTTATCTTTATTACATTAAATATCAAAAATCATATTTTGTGCAACTTCATACTGCTCTACCAGATTATCTTGT